TTCAGACCTACTGCACTTCCTTTTACACTGCTCATTTATGGTGTAGTTATGGCAAATCAGCCATCAGGAAATTACAAGTGGCTTATCAGGACGCTTTCAGAATACTACTTACTTAGACTCCCGAGATGGACTTTTGTGAGTCAGATGTTTGTTAGTAGGAGTGCTCCTACTTTTATGCTGTTTTGAGGAATTATATGCATGAATTTATGTGTTGTCTGAATATGTCTAGTAACACTATATCAGAGCATGGTCTAACCCAACATGTAGTGATATGAGATTTTCATCCTCTCTGTTGAAACATTGGTATACTTGCTTGTATGTACAGGGATGATGATGTTTTTTTTATTTTTTAAATTTAAAATTTAAATGTTTTCTCTTTTCATCTTTAGTACTGGACTAAATTTTTGTCTATAAATAAATGGAGAGTTTCAAACTAGCAGCAACACGTAATTAGCTCGATAGGATCGGGTTGTATTTTTGTCGTGTGCCGCTTCTGGGATGCATCAATTTCTGCAGGTAACATAGGGCTAGACAAGAAATCACACACTGTTTCAGTGTAAAATTGCCATTACATTTCAAAATAAAAGTACTGCAGCAATGCAATTTCATATATATGAGGCTTACGTGTGACCCAACAGCTTATGCAGTCCCAGTTTTTCACGGCTTTAATCCTGGCAGTGGAGAGGAACCACATCATATATGACATCAAACAGCGATTTCAATCATCACCTCCTTCGTTTTGGTTTAATGGTGGAGTGCATAAACAAACTGTGACCTGAAGTCTCGAGAGATCTTGTAATCTCATGAGTCCAGCGAAGAGAACAGCGAGGGAGCTGTGTTGCTGCCAAGACTCTACCGGTGTGAACAGGACCGCTTTGAAGTTTGCAAGTAAACCGTTCTGCTGCCGTTTCACCCCGCTGACGGTACCAGTGTGAGACCGGCGTTAGCGTGAGGAGATGAAGGTGTGGAGAACAGTCTCAAGTTCAGAGTGGGACAGAATGGGACTCAGCTTAGCAATGTTCCTGAGATGGAAGAAGGAAGAGCCAACAAGACAACTGACATGACAGTCCAGGGTGAGAGTGGGGTCAAAGGTTACAGCAAGATTCCTGACAGAGGGTTTGGTGTGAGAAGCAAGCTGACCAAGAGAGTCTCTGACTTGCCTGCAGTCTGAACGTCGCAGGGTCCCCAAACCCTCATCTGACTCTACACAGGAGCAAGCAGAAGAATGGATTAATGAATAAAGTCTTTACATTTACATATCACCCAGTTTTACAGATGAAAGAAATGGTTAATCTTTTCAAGTTATTCTGGACTGTGTTTGGTGGTTGTAATTATTATTCTTTTGCTGAAAATGACTTCATGCTAACTGTGCTGTGATCCAGGAAAATTGGAAAGGTGCTTGTTTCCACTGGATGACAAGCATTCTCTTTTTCCAGGCCACGTGTGCAGAGAAAACGGCGCTACCACCACTCCGTTGGTCAGGCATCTGATCATTGATCTTTGCTGATGCAGAATGTTCCTTGGGCCTTTTTCTCATCAGCAAAGTTGCAGAGCGAGACAGCAACAGCCTCCCCTCACCACCACCAGGCTGCACTGGTGGGAGCGGCCACCTGGATCAAGTGTGGATATGTTGTTTATGCTAAAGCTATTACTCTCTTTCTGGGCAACGCGCCCTGAGAGCTCGACTGCTCTCCAGCTACTGAATTATTTACCCCAGGGATTTGCCACTTTCTCTATATGAGCTGTCACACGCAGTTGAATGATGATTTGATTGTCCAGCAATGAGGACCCAGTTGCTTTGTGTCTGTAAACGTATTAGTCAGGTTTTATTTAAGCTCCTCCGTGACGCATAAATACAGAAAATTAGGAAGTGCGATTCACACGTGCTTCGGTGTCAAAGGAAACTTCTGTTTGCACAGAGGAACATAAACAACATGTAATATTGTTGTCATTTACTTAATTCCCTCTGGGATTAATAAAGTATCTTTGATTTGATTTGACTAATTTAAGGAAAAAACAACCTAAGTACAGCACTGTGTGAAATTTGCCAACAACCTTCAAAGTCCCAGACAACAGAATGGAACCACGTGTGCTTCGGTTCAGCTCTGCAGAGGTTCTGACTTTTCCACACGGATGCTCGTTATCAAATCTAAAAACAGCTAGTAGACTGCAGGGGTGTGTTTACTGGACCTTTTGGCATGATAGGAAAACGGAACACCTTGTCCGGCTATGTAACACTTTACAGTTATGCTTGATTTACAGACGTGGAAAACATTTTTGGTACCAATGAAGAGAAACCCACAATGGTCGCAAATAACTTGAATCTGACATAAGTAATGATAAATAAAACTTCTATGAAATTTAACTAACTAAAGTCAAACATTGCTTTTAAACCGTTTTTCAGCTAAATTGTTTTTCATTGACCGAAGGATACCAGTAATATTGTCCACATCTGTAAGGTCTTTATGAAAATGGGTTCAAGCAGGAAAGACAGTAAAATGAATGAGTGAAGCCTATGGCCTCTTTGTAATGTTTCTCATGAGGGAAAAACGATACAACATGGTCAGTGGATTTTGCATGAGATAGTGTTTAACCATTGACATATATACCGGACAATGTGTGTCCATAGGCTCGAATTATACATTTTTGTGCCCAAGTGGGAGGCCCCCACCACCGCCATTTTTACTGTGTCACAGGTCCCGTCACGCCCAGACAATACAAAAATGGGAAGAGTGGTGGAGCTAAGGGTGGGGCTGTTGCCTTTGGAACAGGGGTGGAACAAATGAACCAGTGTAGCTACTAGCTAACTTGGCTAACCCAAGAAGCTAAGAAGGGCTCCTTGGACCGGGGTATCCCCGCAGAAGACTGGCTCCTGTGTGAGGGTGTAGTCACGCTGATGGCCTGTGGAGATCTAATATGGACTGGGTCTGTTAAATTACAAGCGGAGCCTCAGACTGCTTCGATTGTAGTCGAGCACTGTGGCCTTTTACATCAGCTCTTGCTCCACAGTCGGAGATAAGCGGGACACTAGCTACATGCTAACCAAAAGCTAACAGAGTTTTTTGGCTGTTTTCAGCAAGGAAAATGCGGTAGAGCGACTCCAAAGTAAAGGCACCCCCGGCCTGTTTAACAACGAAATCATATGTAAGCTGACCGAGGATATCGGGCTTCGTTGGTCCACTGCGGTGAAAGATCCACGCGTCCGCCATTGCTGATGTTCCCTGCTTGGAGCCGTAGATCAGTGGGACCTTAGCAACATGTTAACCTGAAGCTAATGGAGTCTTTCTGGCCATTTTCAGCGAGAAAAATGTGGTTGAACAACTCAAAAGTGAAACAGCATCAACAAAAAGAGCCGCAGTGTTTCTGTGATCTCCCTCGGAGATCCAGCATGACTACAGCCTCGCTTCGGAGCCGACCCGGCTGCCCCGGTAAACGGTAACAGGCCTGCTATTCTCAGGCAGGAGACAGGAGAAGACGGGCACCTGCTCAAGGTTTTTATGCAGCTCCAACAACATGTTTGACCAAGCAGTTAAATAACACAGCATTTCCCCTCAGTCAACCAACGAAACAAAGTACAGAAATATAAATGTACTTACTGATAAAAACTGCTTGGATGGTCTGTTAGCTAACTTGGCCCTTTTGTCCAACTAATCCCTTGATTAACATCCAAACACGAACACACAGAAAAAAACTAAAGTTCAGAGTCGACATGGTCGAACATCTATTAATGTGAGGCTGAAGCCTTTCTCCGGAGCTAGCTCTGAAGTCACATGGCTCTGATGCTCAATAATTATTCAGATTTTTACCCATTAAATTCCACTGGAACAGAACAGTTACACAAAAATTCACCCCACTAAACGTTGTCATTAATGTAAACTAGATCTATTAAACCTAAAACGGTTGTTGAACCAGGCTGTAAACATGTTTATTTCTGCTGTGAAATTGGCATTTTTAACATGGGAGTCAATGAGAATTTACTCACCTCTGCTGCCAGCCCCTAGTGGATGAAGGGGAACTGCAATTTAGCCACTTCCTTTTCATTATTGTGTTTGACACATGTCTAGGTACCACCAGCCTGATGCTCATCCAAATGTGTGTGTGTGTGTGTGTATGTGTGTGTGTGTGTGTGTGTACTCCTCTATACATCGAAGTGAGGACTAATGACAAGCTTTTTACCTGTAAACTGACAACATTTCGCCAGTCCTTACTTTGGTACAATGCTACAGAACTCTAGTCGTTTGTTTTAGGAGTATAGTAAGAATTACGTTTTAGTTAAGGTTAGGGCTCGGAGTTGACTGGTTAATGTTAGAGTTAGGGTTAGGATTAGGCACAGACCAGTCACTAAAATGACTCACAACAAATGCTAGACTGCGCGCGCGTGTGTCTGAACCTGCTGATAGTGCTTTCCCGCTGCTGTAAGAACAGCCGGGTCTTTCTTTAGGTGGAGGATTGAATCAGTGATGACAGTCTCATGACCTCTTCCTGTCTAACCGTGTCTAACACACACACACACACACACACACACACACACACACACACACACACACACACACACACACACACACACACACACACACACACACACACACACACACACACACACACACACACACACACGTTTTCATGTTACCACTGATCAGATCGTGTTTTAACAGCTTTATTGTTATTATATTATTTCTGTGAACAAACGAAAGTCAAATAAAGTTGGATAAATTAGAACCATCATCGCCACAAGGAGATGATCTAACCCAGAACCCGCCTCCTCTCTCTCCTCTGGACCGGAGAACTTTGCGAGCAGGGGGTGATGTCGTAAAGCTTGTCGTAAACCAGGTGCGGAGAAGGGGAGGTGAAGAGAGGGAGGGAGGGAGGTGGAGGAGGAGGTGAGGGGGAGAGAGGAGGTGACTCTCCGGCAGCATTTAGACACAAGGAAAGGATCATGGCGGATGGCCCCAGGTGTAAGCGCAGAAAACAGGCGAACCCGAGGAGGACCAGCGGTGAGTAGAGTCAGTGGTCCGGGTACCGTTATACCGGTTATACTAGCGCTCCAGCGGGGACCGTTAGATCAGCTCCTGGTCCCGGCTCCATCCCAGCGCCCTCACCCTCACAGGAAGTCTACATTTATTCATTCTGTTGTGTTTGGAGGACTTTGTCCGGCATTTCGGAACTCGGAGCGTCCGGGCTGGGTTGGGTCCGGAGCTGCTTTAGGTGGTACCGGAGCGGTTCTGTAGGGCTGGCTAAACTTCATGGTTCTGCTTTGAACTCGTGTCCCTCCTCCCGATAAGGTCCAGGCAGTTCGGCTCAGAGCTGATAAACGGTCGGGTGCACGGGGACCGAGGTTCCGGAGCTCGAGACAGACCTCACGCGCTGCGAGTAGGACAAGCGCTGCCCATATAAGGAGCGCGGATCCTGTCCCGTCGCGCGCTCCGGGTGGATTCCGTCTCTTCCTTCTGTTGTCTTTAGATTAAAAGTTTAGTCCCGAGCTTTAAGCACGGTCTAGAAACTTCTGGAAAGCCTTTGTTGGTAAACATGAACCTCAGGTGTTCCTGCCGGCGAAGCCGCGGTAACGGTGCTCTCTGTTCCTGCTGCCGAAGAACTTTTCTCTCCACCCGGGCGGAGAACATAAGGTTGTGTTGTTCAGGAGGAGTCTGGTAATTAGTACCGAAGCTAAGGGAACCGTCCTCTAACAGGACCAGGGCTCTCTGGTTCTGAGATGTTCAGAGCTACTCTGGTCAGGAACTCCTGCAGGCAGAGGGAGCTCAGGTCCAGGTGAGCTCCAGGTGTCCGTCAGCTCCCATCAGGAGCAGCAGACTTCCTCTGGAAGGTAATGTGGGAATATTGGAATGCAGCCAGTCCCTGCCCATGTCCTGGTGGGCCTGGGGTTTTCAGACCTGTTTAGTCCTTCCTTCTGAGGTAACTGTTGCCTAGAAAACCTGCTAAAACTACAAATAACCCTCGCAGAGCAGCCTGAGTGAGGTCCTGAGTACACTCATGCTGTAGATCTGAGGGCAGACCATGCTCTTCAACAGGTAATAGGTGTGGCTCTCACATGCCACTCCTGTATTGGAACACATCTGTTTGTATTTAAAGGAGCCGAGCAGGAGGAGCGTTTTCATGTATCACACGTTTTTCAGTCCAACCCCCCCTCCCTATGGTGCTGCACTCCATCAGCCCTCCTTCCACAGCTTGCTCTTTATTTTGGAGAATAGGGACATGGAGGCGGGGGTGTGGGCTTTAAGCCACAGCGGCTAGAGATACGGGGGTGGGGGGACTGTTGATTGCCCCCTGACCTGGGCACCCATGCGTTCTTAGAGTATGACTTCACTTTCCCCCCTCTGTGCTATTGTGCAGCTTCCAGCGTGTCTTTGAGTCTGCTCAGTGACAGGGGTATGGTGGGAGGGCCCCCCCAGTGCACTCTGACCCCTCCTCTATGGGGCCGAGGGCTACAACAGGTGACAAGTGTGGACGTTTTGCTGCTGACGGATCTAGAATGTCAGCGTCTCCCAGACCGCGGTGGATTCTACAGCTGAAGTTATCCATAAACACCTTATTCTCTATCATTCATCTGACCGCCCCCCAACCCACACACACACACACACACACACACACACACACACACGCGCGCGCAGCCGGGCGATGTTCCGCGCTAGCATCGTTTAGAGCCTGCTCCGTCATAAAGCCAGACACCCCTTCCCTCTGCTCCCGTGTGAGGCTGGGTGCTTAAGTGAACCATTGTGTTTTAGAGCTTCAGCGGGGAAGCCTGAGGAGAAAGAGCATAGTTACCTTTGCAGTTTGTCTGCTCTACCTCATACACTTTCAGCGGCGGAAGAAAAGGGCCATTCAACAGGCCCGGCATGGGGAGGGACAGCCCTTTTCACACTCTGCTTGTGGGAAACTTCTCCTCCACACTGCACAACATTTGCATATGACCCATTCTCTTTGCAAAGGTCCCTGTGAGGGAGGAATCTGTGAAACATTCACAGCATTTCTCTAAATCTCTTCTCTCACACAGCCTCGTAGTTCCTCCAGGACCAGCTACGCCGCACCGCTTCACACTTTCTGTTCAGAAGGTTTACCTTAAAGATGAAAATGTGTGTACGTGTGTGTGTGTGTGTGTGTGTGTGAATTTCTCTTTAAGTAGACTAATTTTAACTTTTAACCAGTAGTGTGTGAACATTTCTGCATTGCGGGGACATCTGGCTGGTCCGCACAATGACTAAATACCGTAAACGTGATTTTAGTGGTAAGATGTGGATGAGGGTCAGGGTTAAGCACAGTGGAGTCACTAAAATGAATGGAAGTCAGTGGAGGGTCCACGCAAGGATACAGAGACAAGTATGTGTGTTTGTACGTGCATGTGAGTATGTGTGTGTGTACTCGTGTGTGTGTAGCATGATGTGCTGTTTTAACATCAGGGTCTGGGACCAGCAGAACAGCTGGTTGGTCTCAGAAAATGCAAACACATCCAGGACCTATGGGTCCGTTTGGGGTAACACCAGGACGTGGGGGGTACTCTGAGTTTTGTATCCGCTTGTTAAACTGGAGATCCCCCTCCACCACCCCCCCCCCCCCCCCACACACACACACGCACACACGCACACACACACACACACGCACACACACACACACGCACACGCACACACACACACACACGCACGCGCGCACGCGCGCACACGCACGCGCACGCACACGCACACACACACACACACACACACACACACACACACACACACACACACACACACACACACACACACACACACACACAGAAATAAAACCTAGGCTGCCCCTGAGCAGCCCGAGGGACAGTTCTGGTGGTGTGATCACCAACACTGCTGCCTTGACGAGACACAACGAGTGAAAGGGTGTTCAGATAGACACGTTAGGCTCGTCCCGTAGGGGACAACGCTGTCCCCTAAACACGAACACAGCAAGCAGTGTGGCAGAGATCCTCATGGAGCTGGACATTGGGTGGGTGTCCCACATTACATCTCCAGGTCTGTCTGCACACCCTCCTTGTCCCTAGAAAGAAAGAAAACGATCTTTTATATAGCGACTCTCAAGTTAAAGATCACGAGGCGCTTCAAGAAACCCCAAATCAAAACAAAAATGAAAGTATAAAAAGATTTTTTTAAATGGATAAAAATGTTTAAATGAGAAAACATATGTAATTAAAAATGTAAGAAAAGGAAGAGAGAAAATGAATGGGAAAGAGGGAAATCAGTGGATCCCGGGAAAGGCAGAATAAGTAGAGGGAGGTGAGGAAGCCTGAACAAGTGAGCCTTCAGCTGCTTTTTAAAGGAGACCACTGAGTCCACTGATCTCAGGCTCAAGGGGAGAGAGGTCCAGAGTCTGGGGGTCGCAGCAGCAGATGATCTTTCACCTTTGACCTTTATCTTGGTGCGCTGCACAACCAGTAGGCTTTGATCACTGGACCTCAGGGACCTGCTGGGGGTGTAGGGACTGAGAAGATCACCAATGTATGATGGTGCTTGTCCATGTGAGGCCCTATAGACCAGAACCAGGATCTTGTAATGAACCCTGAAGTTGACTGGCAGCCAGTGAAGCTGGAGGAGAAGCGGGGTGATGTGGGTGTGTTTGGAGGACTTGGTCAGAAGCCGAGCACAGGCATTCTGAACCATCTGTAGACGGTTCAGGGAGGTTCTGCTCAGACACGTGAAAAGAGAGTTACAGTAGTCTAAGCGTGAGGAGATGAAGGTGTGGAGAACTGTCTCAAGTTCAGAGCGGGACAGAATGGGACTCAGCTTAGCAATGTTTCTGAGATGGAAGAAGGAAGAGTGAACAAAAGAACTGACATGAGAATCCAGGGTGAGAGCTGGGTCAAAGGTCACGCCAAGATTCCTGACAGAGGGTTTGGTGTGAGAAGCAAGCTGACCAAGAAAGTCTCTGACTTTGGGAACCAGCTTGTCTGGGGCACAGATGAAGATCTCAGTCTTATCTTCATTCAGCTGAAGAAAGCTCCCAGCCATCCAGGTTTTGATAGAGTCTGAGCAGGTGTGTAACAGCTGCAGCTTAGACATCTCATGGGGCTTAAAGGAGATGTACAGTTGGATGTCATCTGCATAAAGATGGTAGGAGATTCCTTTGAAGGAGCTCAGGATGTGCTGAAGAGGAAGCAGATAGAGGAGGAAGAGCAGAGGCTCCAGCACAGAACCTTGTGGGACACCATGGGTAAGAGAGGTGGTGGAGGACCTAAACTTGGAGACGGCCACAGAGATGGAGCGCTCAGAAAGATAAGAGGAGAACCACTCCGGAGCAGAGCCTGATAGGCCTACCCAGTCTCTCAGCCTCTCCAGTAGCAGGTGATGGTCAACAGTGTTAGTGTCCCTACACCATGCCCCCCCCCCCCCCCCCATGGAGCGGTTAATGAAAAATACTGGGCTGACAATAGGAAGAGGGCGGTCCCAGCGAGGGGCTCCCTCACCAGCTTGTGTTTGTGGCAGAAACTGACCGTTTGAAGTTTTTTATGGCTTATTTAGCATCCACGTCTCACAGTGCCTCTGTCTCCAGTAATGAAATGGGACAAAAACAGATGAAGACTTGTTTTGCTCTTTGAAAACATCCAGCTGATGGGCTTTTTGCTAGCCCTTTATGATGACCATATTGATTTTCCTCTCCGTAGCACACAGCACTGATAATAGCCCTCCTGAGGGGACTACACACTGACGCTCGGATCCTGTGTTTGTGTGATGTCCCGGGGGCCGCGGTGACTAACTCATCAAACTAGCAGGGCAAAGCTAGCCAGATGATAGCGGAACATTAGTCACGCTGATTGTTAGTCAGAGGGCAGGCCAACTGCTGCACCCAACGTCAGCACGGATAAACATCCACACAGGACTAATGAGAGAAGAATGGCAACCTGAAATGGGTGTGTGTGTGTGTGGGGGGGGGGGGGGGGGGGGGGGGGGATACAGGGAAGTATGGAGATCCACTTTGTCCCAATTCACCCATGAATGATTTGTTGAGATCCCCATGTCTGATGGGGATGGACAAGCAAAGACGGAGTCTGCAACAGCAGTGAGACGTTTTCCCATACCCGCATCCCATCCAGAACCCGAACCGTTAGCATGCAGCCTTGTACAGCTACACTAGTAACTGGTGTTAAACACACCTGTCCTCATTGTCAGTGTTCAGGCGTTCCCACGCAGGTAACGAATATCCAGCGTTGACCCTGTCTATGATCCCACAGATCAGTGAAGCATGACGTTCAGCACATCAGGGTTAGTCTTTCTGTTTATAGTATTGTGTCCATTTGCTCCTCCTGTCTGTCCAGTACTGACGCAGCACCTGTAACTGCTTTAGGCACGCAACGGCTCGGCTAAACAGCGCTCATGAATAACACCTGACCAGCCACAGCTGTGGCTGCACGGTGGGAGAGGCCCTTGGTCAAGCGCTGGTCTTCTACAGAAGGAAAGCAAACTAAATGCGAGACGAGCAGAATGTAGAAGTGAAATCTGAGTGTTTTCTTGCATCTTGAATGTGTGAACGTGCTTGATGAATTTTACACTTGCCTCAAAGCCAACTTTTCAGTAAACCCTTTTCATGCAAATGATTCCTAAAAGGATGTTTTCAAACACAAGGCCATCTCTGAGTGACTGGTTAAGTAGGTCTTTGAATTTGAAGGGAGGAACGTTATCTGTTCTGTAATTGGGATGTGAAAGCTTGGAACAATGTTAATTGTGCTCTAAAAGCAAATGGAAGAGGTGAAAAAAGAATGTGTATGCTCACCCTTACGATAATCATCAGTAATGAACCAGCCCATAAATCCCTCCGATCAAGAGCTGCCCACGAACCAGACACACA